ATAAAAATCAAGGTCATTAAAGAAGTAATGTAAAAGAATTAAAAATCTACAATTCTCCTAAAAGGAATTAAAAATCTACAATTAAATCTAACAAATATGTCGAATTGTAAGAAGCGCTCTTAGAAACAATTATTTGATTTGTACGCCAATAGTTTTATAATGCTTATCGCACATTATCTAACTTCGCTTTTTTACGATATTTATATTTAACAAAATTACCATTAAAGTACGCAAATTTAAAGTATATAAAAAACAAAGAGATAATGTGGTAGAAGAAAAAGTAAGAAGGAACGTGTTTTTATAAACGTATGAATACATTGGGTCAGTGTGCGCTCCGCGCGCCCGAGGTAAGGCGCTCGAGTATAAGCATGAGCGCTGTTTCTGCCCCTCTTCTCTACGCGCCCGTAACGCGTAATACTATTTCTTCTTATAATTTGAAAATTAATCTTCAGACAAAATTTTCGTAAAAGAAAAATCGTCTTAGAATTGCGTCAGGAATACGTCTTTACGGGAACACCTGGGTTTCGGATCACCCTGTAAATTGAAATAGTAACATCTAAAAGATATAACATCTAAGAGAAGAAAAAGAAATTTATCGTTATCGAGAAGAAGATTTAAATTTGAATAGCATATAGTTTGATATTTAAGGAAGTATGAGTACATATTAAATATTACAATATAGGTCATGTTCCTTCTGATATACGCTACCAATCTGAAAATCTATAGTATTGAAATTCACATTACATAAGATAAAGTTGCCGAAATCGCACTGACTCCTAATCGCACTACTTCGCTTAAAAATTCAATTATTGTATTTAATTACATTCTTATATATAAGTTATTTAAAACTATATAGTACTATGGTAGCAACGTTACTTCGTTTACGCTCGTGACACGAAGCGCAATAGAAGTGTTGTTATTTACGAAAATAAAAAAGTGTTGCTATTTTTCAACATATAACGGAATTACAGAAAGTATAAATTAAATAGTCTAAGTTTTGATCGTGATTCGAATATTATTAAAATTAAATTAATAGAATTAAAGTTTGCTTTACATTTTTGTTTATAAGTTAAATAAATAAAAGTTTTAAAAACGCTCAAATTTCCTAAATTGCACCATAATATAATTCCCACAATCTAATCTTCTAAATCACATTTTCTAATATTTTTACATGTTTTATATTTTTATTACATTTATTATTTTGTAAAGATGTATACAGAGTGTCTCTGCATATAGTGCCAAAACTACAACTACAGCGGCTTTAGCCTATAAAAATAAATTGAAAATGTCCAAACACATATATCCGATTTCAGAGTTACAGGAATACTACATTAAAGTAAGAAAATAAATCGTAAATGTTGTTCATTATTTTAAATATGATAAAGAAAACCAAGACCGGTTAAATTTTGGATATTTACAAATATATATACATTATATATTCTTTTATTAAATCAATTTATTCCAGATATAATTGAGAGCCGATAACATTCGGTTTCAACACAATCATTCTGAAACGTTACTATTGTAATATCCCCTAAATTAAATTAGAAAAAAAGAAAGAAAATAAGAAATTTTATTGAAATTTTATTGAAATTTTATTTTATAAATATTATCTCAGTCAGGATTCGAACCTAGAATCTCTCAACTTTCCGGGAAGAAAAGTTTTTTTCTTTCTAATTTAATTTAGTGATCATGAGAAAACATTCGTACAGGAAGTCATCCTTAATATATATTTCTTTACATTTTGGGGACGAATGAAAGATCTAATGATTCTAGTCTATCAAAAAAAAATTCAGGATTCAACAGAAATAATGAATATTAAATAATATTTACTACGATTTATGTTTTCTTACTTCAACCCGTTCAATTCCGAATTTCGAAACCGTTCAGAATCGGACAAATGTTTATTAGACATTTTCGACTTTTTACATACATTTACGGCTGAAGCCATTGTAGCAGTTTTGACATCGTATGCAGAGATACCCTGTATTGTAAGCTTACAAAATATTTATTTTGTTTTATATAGAATTATGAAAAATATATTTTTAAAAATATATTCTAAGTTTTTGACAGCATAATATAATAAAATACTATTTTTTTTCTTATTGTATATAATTTTGAAATCTTTGTATTATTATAATGTTTGAAATAACGAATATTAGTAGATGCGATTTAGGCAACGAATTTCTTTGTGCCAAATCGCCAAATCATACTATACTGAAAAATTCTCATTTAAAATGTTATATTAGTAAAAAATTATAAAAAAATTATAAATCTAACAAAGTACAGTTTATTATGCTGTAAAAAAACTTAAGAATGTTTTCCATAATTTTTAGTTATGTAGAGTTATGAACCTTTAAGTGAAAAGTGGCGCGATTTCAACAACCTTACTCTACAGGGTGTCCCATTTTAATGTTTCACCTCAAATAACTTTTTTTATTTTTATCTCAGAAAAAAATGTTTCGGACAGTTATGGATAAAAAATAAAAAAATTAATTTGGAGATTGTGGGACATTAAAACCCTGTATACTATAGATTTCAATATATATATTGGCAGTATATATTGGAATACGATTATAACGTTGTGTATATCTTTAATATAATTGCATTATAATCTTTAAGATATAAATTTAATTTATTTTAATCTTGCTTTGTAAAAATGTAAACTTGATGCATCTTGATGAATCGTTGAGTAATATTATAGTATGTAAGAGTGGCACTATATGAGGCAAATAGCAAATTTTGCATGCGTCAATCGGTTTCCTCCGCACCGATCTTGGAATGAATGAACTCACCATCGCAATTTCACTTTCTTACGACTCAACTTGTGCAAGTCTCAAGGTTTCCCACATTATGAAAGCCAATAGATAAAACGAGCGAATAGCATGCTCGCAAAAATCAGCCAATTGTAGCATTGTGTTCATCTATACACTTCTTATATAATACAAGATTCTTATATGACTTACAAAATTATTATATGTCTCCGTAAAGCAGTGTTTTCAATATTATGTATGTAGTTTTTTACAAATGACATAAATAGATCTTTATGATAATTAATCGATGAAATATATTATATAGTGAAAAATTCTTTACTAAAATCATTTGAAAGCCGTATATTATATATGTATGTATATTTATCAATTATAAATTATAATTATATAATTTCATAACTAAATTTACTTTCAATAAAATTAATTTTTCCTATATTGCAATTTTGGTACTAAAAATATCATCTCCGATTTTCTCAAGTGAGATGATTAGTGTGAATAATGGAAAATTATGCGTGTTATGTCTGATTATATGAGCAAACGAGGGAACTGTCGCGATCATTCAAATGATTCCGTAAAGACCATTGCCAAAAGTGAAACCGATGCCGGTAAAACCGAATAAATATTGATGGTGGTGGTCCATTAAAGAGGTCACTTTCGAGTCATCGTGCACAATGAAACCACATTTTCAAAGTAAATTTTATATAAGATAAGAAAAAAAATCGCAAACAACCACTTTCTTTAAAAAAAAGAATGTTTATCGTTTTTAGTTGCGAAAATAACGTGAAAAAAAATCATTTGACTATTTACTTAATTTTAGTTTCAACTGTTGTGAAGACTAATTTTTATCTTTATTTTATCAGAAGATATTTTGCACATAAAATTTCTATAAAACTAATTTTTACTTAAATTCTTAATTATGAATATTTTATATAAATATTTAGAGAGTTTTTAAAGAAAATTACTCCATTATATAATTATATAATAATAATCCATTATATAATATTCATTAAATTTTACTAAGTATTAGGTGTAGTAAAAAGAAATCCATTATTTTTCCATTCAATTTCATGCAAGAATAATGGATTTCTTTTTACTACACCTAATACTTTTAAATATTTAGGAAAAAAGGATAAGATTTGTTGAATCTAATTATAAAAATGGAGATTATAAGACATTATACATATGAAACCCTTTTAATATAATTTCTAAATACAAATGTATATACTTATATCTCTCACATGCGGCATCATTTCGTTATAATTTCGCTAATAATTATTATAAAAAGAAATTATCAAACAGAAATTGAAATTTATCATTTATATATAATATATTTCTAAACACATCATGCTGCATAATTCAGCTATATCAATAAATTTTACAATAATTTCTACTGAAATAATATCGAATATTTTTTTATCGTATCACGTCAATCGGTGTTCGTCATCGTCACTGCTTGGAAACGTCATAGCGAGCGATGCAGGTAGGGACAATAGAAAATCAGCAGCAGCCGGTGTCAAGAACGGGCAGTTCTCCGTGGTTTCGTAACTCGTGAAAGTCTGCACAAGGGACAGTGACCTCACTCTCCCTCTCCTCGTGCGTCCTCTCCTGTATATCTTCTCCCTTGTGTCCCCTGCGAAACTTTGGTCCTTTCCTCATGTTAAGCGCCTTCAACTACAAACGTGTTCCACGGTTCTCCATGAGATAGTCACTTATGCATGAACCTTATCCGACAAAGAGACCAGCTTTCCCCGAAGTCAGAAATCAACTTGATAGGTTCTTTCGCTTTCTTTTTCTCTTTCTCTTTCTATCTCGCTCACATACACTCCCGACCTCGAGAAAATGTCTCGAGATCCAAAAGGTTAGTGAAAGGTTTAATTTATCGATTGCGCGGCTGCCGAACTCGAATTTCGCGCAACAGAGGAAGTGCTGGCGGAATTAACGTGCGAATCTTTTTCGCTTTATAAAAAAATAAAATAACTTTTTCGCTTTATAAAAAAATTTCAAGGTCATGTAAACAAGAATTGAAAGCCCGACGTGTGAGACACAATATAACTGACAAAAATTGAATCAAACAACAATGCATATATGGTACGTCTGAGAAAATTAATACAGATTTTAATCAATATTCTAGATGCATAATTAAAATATTTAACAAATGCAAATAGTATATTATCTTGATAAAAGAAAGTTATATGAATAGATTTTATATATTAATTTTGTATGTTTAAGGTGGTGCACTTGCGACAAAGGTTAGACAATGCAGTTAGCAGTTCGAGAGATCGAGTATTTCCTTTGGACGCAACCTTAACCATGATTCAAACTCTTATAGATTGCGACGAGTTCCAAGATATCGCCACATTGAGGGTATGTGAGAATACATCCTTTTATAATAAAACATATAATGTAAATTGCATAATTTCTATTAAGACATTAGTATAATTAATGTAAACATTGACATAATTTTTTTACACGAAAAAAATATATGTTTTTCTAATGTGCAGTATATAAGTTTAATTTAAAAAATTACTTAGTCTAATCAACGTTTATTTCCGTAAGCAACAGTAATTCAGTGAATAATCTGTTTCTCCAAACCAGTGCTGGGATTTACTTGTCAATTGGCATTTAGGCTGCGCGCGGGTTGATAAGAAATATGAACCAAGTTGAAATCGGCTGAAATGTACAAGTAAATCCCAATATTGCTCTAAACTGATCCATTTGAATGAATTATTAAATCTGTTTTTTTATTCCTACACTAGACTGCACTACAACTCTCTTTCTTGCTTTCACGAAATATATATCCATTTCACTTTATGTTCCAAAAGCGTACACTAGTTCAACCATAAAAAACAGATCCATTATTTAAATAAGACAAATCCTTTTCGATGAAAGCAGATCTAGTGCTTAAATATTTTGGTGTGAATTTATGTACATATGGCATCACAAATAAATGATTAGTCATTGTGTAAGCAGGACTTACAGATGATTTACATTTACATGTACTGATGCATCACTAGATATTACTACATTATCTCATTCATGCATGCTACACATACACATAAATTTTCGTATAACATTAATTAGATATCCAAGTCCAATTCTAAGAATTCCACGTTATTTCTTGCAAACCACTAGTTTGTGGATTATTATTTTATAAATATAGATTGCAAAGCTTTTATACGAAACAAATATTGTAACGATATGACAGCTTTAAAGCGTTAATGTTGGACTAAAAAATTTCAATTTGAAAAATCTTTTTCATTCTCGGTAAACTCCACCTCACAGACATGTATTACCTATTAAGGCTCATGCCTATACAGCCATGATAGCGCCAAACTGAATATGTGATTTATAGCATAAGCGAAAAAAAAATTACTCGTTTTGCAAAAATTGATTGTTTAAATGATAATTGTTTAAAAATGCCCATTTTTTAAAAACTAAAAGTGCTATTCGATTCTACTCTTAAAAACAAGAAACTTTTATTCTTGGTATTTTTTCGATCTACTTTGCTTATGCAAAAAAATTATTATAAATGCATGCGCAAAGTCGGCTCCATGCTCTGGGTATTGCATAAATACAAAAAGTGTATTGCATAAAAAAGAAAACTGATTGTGGGATTCATAACATAAATGAAAAAAATTACCCGTGTTTTTTCTTTTTGCAAAATTGATTTTAAACAAATTATTTAAAAATACTCATTTTTGCATAAACAAGTACCAGATCGAAAAAATACCAAGAATAAAAGTTTCAAACGTAAAATCGAATGGCATTTTAAAAAAGTGGGCATTTTTAAACAATTTGTTTAAACAATTATCGTTTAAACGATCAATTTTGCAAAATGAAAAAACACGGCTAATTTTTCGTTTATGCTATGAATCACATATTCAGTTTGGCGTTATCACAGCTGTATTAAGCATGGACTTTAGTGGATTAATACATGGGTATTATAAAAGAGAAAAAAAAATTGTTATACAAAAATTATATGGTTTAATAATATAGGTGGCTGTAAAATATTTTAACCCTCCTAGTTTCTTCTCCGATACTCATGCAAGTGCATGCTTTATATGTCAAGATATTTGTGACGCCATGTGTATCTAATTCTGCAAACCATGAACTGAAACCTTTTTTGGTTTTGAAACGTAATTATGAACAGAACTAGAATATTGTAGTAATATCACATCCTAGCAAAGAATGGATAGAAATGGATTCAGATTTTCAGAAATACAGATTCACGAATGTTAAAATGAATCCTTTCCAATTCTGAATGTATTTTAATTCCTTTATAGAAATTGCATAGAGCATATTTCTATATTTTTCAATCTAAAAATAATATTAGCATATTCTGTGCGTCGTGAATATTGCTCAATTCAAAACTGTGAATAGGAAATGCAGTTTTTCAATTCAATTGAATAAAAAAATTTTTGATTTAAAAATAGATTATACTACTTAACTTATTCAAAATTATGAATAGGAAACTTTTAATCCAACTACGTTCAAAAAAAAGGTTGTAAGGTAAAAATAATTCAGCTATGGTCTTTTGTTTCTTTTTAATTATAGACCAAAAGGCCACTATAGTGATTTTGTTACCCATAGCGACAACAAGTATGGATACCTTTTATTTCATGTAAAACATAAAAACAATATACAAGATGGAATATTCGTCCCAGGCGAATATCTCAGAAACTAGAGATACAAGAAAAAGTTTTACATAAAAGTTGTACATTTCCTTGAGAGGAAAGAAAGTGGAAATAATGGATTTTGGATAGGGGGTACTACAAGATCAGTCAAGGTGAATTTTTTAAATGTAATCCCCCTTTTTTTTGCATATTCTTGTAGCACTCGAAAGCTTTCCAAAACACTGTAATAAAATATTTTTTGAAGTACTTTTCGGGTTATAAGGCTTGAAAGTTACAGTATCGCCGTCATTAACTTTTTAGTCAGTGAGTGTGCATATATAATATATATTATATAATTCACATTGAATTATTTAAAGCAGTAAATATCTAGTTTCGACCGTTACAGACTTAAATATTATATTCTTATATTTATAGAAATTATACCTGAAATTAATTACTTCAAATTAGTTTTGAAAAACGCAACTTGAAAGCTGGGACCTCTGGATTATAAATCTTGTGTTACATGCATATATACCATATTTGTAGTCATTCGAACTGCGCGCCGAATTTTCCGGACTTATGAACACAATTAAACTACTGTAATAAATATTGTAATAAATTAAATTAAATTGACAAGCAAATTTTAATATTTTTAAGGTTGAATTTGTGGTATCATATGTAGAAAGATGTTAATGTGCTGAGAAATTGTAAATAAAT